AACAAGTAACACGAGTAACGAGTTTAAGCGTATTTGATATAATCGCCTATATAATATAATATAATAATATATTGCCATTACGGTACTCTATTGTAATAATCGCGAACAAACGCTTTGTGCACATCGGCTGCTGCGGCGGCGGCATACAATGTGTGCGAGTGCGGTGCGGCAGAGTCGCAGGAGAAGAAGACTTCTAGCTCGCACGTCAGGTTCAACAACCCGCCACCGCGCCGATAATTTCACAAGTTTAATGTGGCCCACACTCTCTCGTTGATAATACCTGATATTAATAATACCCGCGTGTCATTATATTATTATTATTATTATTATTATTATTACAATGTGTTTATCGTATTAAAGACGCGTCGGGGGCTATATTATAACAATATTATATGCACCGGCACCGTCGAACTCTATGGTCGGATGCAGCAAAATGTTATATAGGTATATAGGGAATACGGAAAAATCGATCTATTCGGCCTAAATATAATGAGCTGGTATACCTACCGAGCCAGTCATTTGACACAGTTTTCGTGACATCAAACACTATAATATAATAATGTCATATCCGTGTTACGGCGCACACGGGTGGTACACACAATAAACTTCTAAATAGGTAGGTAGAGGTACCCACCGTATGTAGAGAACCACGGTTCATTACTTTACCGCATTAGATTTATATTATAATAATATATTGTTATCATATTATACTTTAATAAGGGACTTACCGAAACAGATTTTGTATAAGCGCACTTCCGGTATTCTGAAACAAACAAAACGTACACCATTAAAATTACGATTATTACAATAATTATAATATTATATAGAATTGATCTCATAAGGAACATTCTTTACCATATCAACCCCCCTCTTTAAAGGTAAGGGCAGTAGGTTAACGCATTATAATTAAGGAGGCCACTAAAATATAAAATATAATTTTCAAATAGTATAGAATTGCAAAAAATGTGAAAAGCCGGCATCGGACCCCATAAACGACACAGCCACACAGGTATAATGACTAACATATATTTTAATACAACGGAATATGTAATAATATATGGAGCGATCGTTATCATAATATTATGTACTTCTATTATTTTTATTTATACAGCGTCACGGTAACGATAATTATGAATATACCGAAACTACCGACTATCGTCTATCGCTAGATACGTATACATCGAAAATTAATAATATTAATAACATATTATGTTTGCGTGTTGCGTCTTATGATTGGTTTTTCTTTAACTATTACTTTCAAAGCTCTTGCATGATAATATATAACGTATTTACATCGATATTTAGTCGTCGTTCCGGTTTGCAGCTATTAAACTAAGCTGTTTCAATCGTAATAATAATCATGATCGTCGCTGGGTATACCAATTGTCTGACATTGTAGCCTCAGCATAACCATATACCAGCTGTTTCAACACGGTATTTAATAACAACAGCAATAATAATAAATAATAATCGCCCGGGATGTCGTATAATATAATATTAAACATTACAAACATCATTCATTACTACGCCGACGTTGCGCAACGGCGGTGGTGAGATTTATTGTGATATTTCTAGGGAAAACGCGGTATGTCATCAACCACTCTGATGGTTAATCGACGCGACGCAGTGACATACGATTACATTAATGACAAGATGGGTATGCGGCGTTCTTAATGAGATTATCATGACGTTTCGATTTTGTCGTCGTACATTGGCGGCGCCCATGTGTATTAATTCGCTTTTCATTCATCGCAGTCGCACAATTCTTTTCTAAGATAAATCTGACAGGCAAACGCACAGCTATACGAGTAAATATACCAGAGATGGCCAAACCTTGATAACCTAACGTTAACATTTTTACTAAAAAAATATTATTCCCTTTCCCGCTCTTCATTTTATTTATCATTATGTTGTGCGGCTTTCTTATCGGTGGTAACCTCTAATATTTATCGTAATATATTATACCTATAATAGCGTTATGATTTCGCAATGGGTCTCGCTCAAGTCTGGAGTGAAAAGCGAAATCGTGTCGGGAGAAAAACATGCGTGTAAAACAGAAGACAAAACAGGATCAGAATAATATTATTTCGAGGGTGAATCGCGCCATAATTAATTCCATAATATTATTTCTATAATATAAAATATATTGATAACGTGTCGGACATGTTGTCTGTTGAGTCGAATAATAAAACAACGACTCTACGAGTATTTATATTATATCATATTGCAGTATCTATACATTGTAATTTGTAACTGTCTATATATTATGCTTATTATAATTTTTAAGAATTGCATATATTTTTGTACTCTGGGTCTGTTGATTTAATTCATACTAATATCAGCAATATCGCTTTAAAATATTATATTTATGGTAATTGGCAATTATTCATATTCTACAATGTAATATGATAGCGATGTACCTACGACTTACGCGCATTAATGTAACGATAATATTTTAATATGGCTCTTAAACGACAAGTGAACGGCAGAATAATGATGATATATATCGTGATAAATAGTTCGTTATACTTATTACCACGACTCCAGTATTATAATAATACAATATATATCGGACGAGACGGACTGGCTGTCGGCCAACCAGTTCATTTATTATAAAATCGTATAGGTATATAGGTATCTGTAATACGCGCTATTATCACCATCATCATTATTGTCGTATCGACGACTATTATTTTCGTATGACGTATGTACCTGTCGAATAATAATAATATAATCACCCGTTTTGCATTCGTAACGAGTGAAGACGGTTTCGGACGACGACATTATTATATTATACCACGATAATTTATGTACGGTGTGTACCAAGGCTAAGCGACGCGATATATAGTTCGATTTATATAAAAGTTTAAAGTCATCGGTTTCTCAGCCGGCGTTATATTATTCTGTTACGGTTTTGGGTTCTTTCGGTATATGTTTTCGGTGTGAACTGCTATAGACCGCAACTAACAGTATAATATACTTAATGCGTGTTAACAAGTACGTGAAGTACGGTATATATTCTGGCTGGGAGTTATTTTTGAAATAGTAACCCAGACAATAATTGTATTTTATATTTTGTTGGTTGGTACTTAATTATGAAAAAAAATGGAAATTATAGTTTGATATCGCACGAATTTCTCGGCGAAGAATCAACTAGCCCGGGTATAAAATCAAATTATTCGTGATACAATTATATTAAATATTATTAATATATTGTAAATTTTAATAATATCGGACCAAATGTACCTACCCATTAATATTTAATATAATTCAATAATTGTAGCATGAGTGTATAATAAACCATTTTAACAAGTGTTTCTAATAAGTTATAATTCATTAAATATAGGTACCTATAAATATGAATCGATTTGTAAAATATTATAATACATAATTATAATATATATATATTTATTAATGTATAGATAAAAAGATATACAATAGGCTACTACGTTACTGATTTGATAAAGTTGTTCATTATAAACTGAACAAAGTCGCATCCCTAATCCCACTTTAACATTAAGACTTTAGCTCGTATTATGGTACAAAATGTAAAATTGTTCATTTTTTAATTTGTATTAGTGAAAAAAAACTTAGAGTCATCCTGTATTCATGTATAATATAGCATATTATGTAAACTTGTTTGGCCACACTATACGCGTCTTTGTATATGCCAGCTATGCACATATAGTTGGCAGTCGTTTGGCGAAATATTTATTATTTTTCGATAATTTAAGATTAAAACCGGAAGACCTTCGGGTGGACATTTTTTTATTTATTTTTATTTTTTACTCATCTTCAGCCCGGATTTTTTTCAATTCCGCTTCGATTCTTATTATTTTCATGCGTCGCGAGTCGTAAAACAAGAAGAAGAAGAAGAAATCATGTTTCCACCGTATTATTATTACCCATCGTCGAAATGGGATTATGGTGTTCGCGGAGGTTAAGGTCGCCGGGTACGGGGTCACACCCGATGATGGAAATCGCGGCGAGACCGCGTTTTACGATTTGCGCACTTACAGCATAATCGCCCTTCAAAACTTCGTCACAACCTATACATATAATACAATAATATAAAATTACCTACACGAATCGCAGGTACTATATTATTATACGAAAACAGAGTCCATCATCCTGCCGTTAAAGCGTGTCCGGGAAGTGACTACAGACAATTATTGTTACTAAAACGATAATAATAATGATACAATGGGATTTGTCCAGGTAACCGGGTAGCTTACGTTTTCAAATCAAAATTTAGAATTTATAATATAATAATATTATAATACCTACCTTCTTGTATTATAATATAGGTACTGCCTGCAGTGGTATGACCTCTACATACCGAATAATGAGCTCACCCTACTACAATAATTTAGATTGTGGGCACGAAATCTATTTGTGTCGCGGCTATTTAGCGGGCGACCGAAAACCGGAGTGTTTGTACCGCGATATAATGGATAGTCGTCATCGTAATATAATATTATACATATACCATTATGTATAATATAATGAAATATTATTGTTTTTAAGCGTATACCTACCTCGGTTGCGTGCTTGCCGCCTCGAGTTGTGCGCATTATAATCGTAAAAATAATAATAATAATTTCATTTATCCATTTCGTAATTTGTTTTTACCTATGTACTTATATTATATTATAATATCATAGATGTTTACTCGTGACGACACCTGTATTACGCGAGTGTATCACAGAGTAATGATGCCAAACAGGCGATGGCGCTTATTTTCGTTTCCGAGAAACGTTTAAAATAATATAATACATAGGTACTAGTAAGTTGCCTACGCTGAACTGAATAATATTAAAATAATAATATAATATACGTATGGCGATATTATAATATTTATAATGACGATGACAACGATATGTAGGTACCAAACCGTTTAAATAATAATTACGGATGTTTTGTACGTATACTGCGCTTACGCAATAACTCTGCGCGAGCACACATATTATTATTATTACCTATTAAATCATCTTATATGTGTTTATCTAAAAGGTAATTACGTTACGCAGGTCCGCGGCTACCGTACTACGCTATCTGCATCGAGTCCCATTAAGCGGTATAATATGAATGTACCGACAACCGAAATATTATTATAAAAAACCGATTGTTTTCAATGAGCATGTTTGCAGGTGGTCCTCGAGTGTTGCCGATTACCATAATATGGAGAGTTACGTCACGTTAAGTAGTTCGATGACAGTTTAGCAGCCTGACAATATATTGTTATTAAACTTTTTATATTGTAGCGATCTCAGCCGATCGATATACACCCTTGTATAATGATAAATAATCTAAGTGTTAGTTTGATTAAGGGTTAATACGACGGGGCGAAATGATTTGGAATCCTGTTACTCACACTTGAATCAAATCTCTCAAATCCAGGCAATTTAATATGTTTACTCCACTACAAATACCGACTGACCAAATATATGGCAGTGAGTTAGCGATCTCCTTTAACAGGAAACAAATAACTGCAGTCGCCTTCCACGACATCGAAAAGGCGTTAGATAAATTATATGCCTCAAAACTACAAAAGCATACTATTACTTTACAAACTCCTATAAACAGACGTCTCAGTCCACGTAGTAAAATTAGTGCAGTCCTTTCTAAAAAATTTCAATTTTTCAGCCAAGGTAACTAAGTCATCATCACGTAAACCACGAACTAAGCAATATAAGCATATATTATAATATAGAACGAAAATCATTTTTGATCGATGGTCATTGCGTCGTTGGTATACAATTGTGAGTCAC